GAGAGTGGAGTTTTAAATTGTTCACTAATGCCTACTAAATAAACACATTGCTCACCTGGAATAGAATCTAGCTGCTTCCCCTACACCTCAGTCTCTGCTTAAAAATAAATAATACATTCCTTTGTTAAGGGGAAAAAAGTGATTTCAGATTTCTAAAGCCTCTGAGCCTCTTAGAGTGAGGTGTTCCTAAGAAACGGTGTGGGGTCAAATGAAGTTAAAACCCAAACCCATATGGAAACAAAACCTAGCTGTGCAGAAGGGGTGTGACAATGGGCTAGGAGTTGCATGCCTCCTCTGCCACCTTGGGAAGGTGAGACAGCAGCATCACTTAGCCCACAAGTTTGAGGTTGCAATGAGCATGCCATAGCACTCCAGCCTAGGCAGCAGAGCAAGACTTGAACTATAAAAATAAATTTTATTTATTTAATAAATATTTAATGTTATATTTAATATAAAGAATTATTTTATACATTAAATATAATTTAATATATTTAATAAAATTTTATATAAATATGAAATTTTAATATAAAATTAAATATTTTAATATAAAATTTATATTATAAACACTATTTAATACATTAAATATAATTTAATATAAATATTTAATAAAATTTTATATAAATATAAAATTTTAATATAAAATATTTTAATATAAAATTTATATATTATAAACACTATTTAATACATTAAATATAATTTAATATAAATAATAAAATTTTATATAAATATGAAAATTTAGTATAACATATTTTAATATAAAATTTATATAAATACTAATTAATAAATTAAATATAATTCAATATATTTAATAAAATTCTATTTATTTAAATAAAATTTATTTAGAAGTACTTCCATCTCATAAATACTGACTCTAGACAAAATTCCAGTTTAACTTTTATCTCCCTACCTAAGTCCTTCTTTGACAATCACTGGCCAGAGTTAGGGAAGAGACATCCCTAACTTGGTAGTGACCCCTGCTGATACTCTCCACTTAGAAAATGGAGTCCCTTTGGGATTTTCAGTCTCAAAACTATTTCAAAATTCACATATTTCTTAAATGGCTGGGGGATGGACAGCCTTTCTTCAGGAGTCTGAGAAGTGCATAATGTGGCAAAGATAACATGTGTCCAACGACATCCATTTGTCCCTTCTTGCTGATGCATATTATATTCCTCAGGCTCCTTTGCCTTAAGAGGGAGTCTTGCAACTAGGGAGCCTTACCAACAGAATATGAGAAGTGTGTACTACTTCTAGAGCTGGCCCGTAACATCTGCCAAGCAATCCTTCGAATTCTGCTCAACTCACTAACATGGTAATGCCCAATGCAACCTTGAAAGCCATAGTGAAGTTGGCATCCCTAAACAACTACAGAGTATCCCACTCCTATTTTCTCAACCTGAAATGACCTGGATGTTACATGAGTGAGCGGGGGGACCGTCTACTTGGAGTCTGCTTTAGCAGTTTAGTCTACCCTAATATGGGTACTAAATGTCAGTTAAATGAAACAAGACCTTGCTTCTGGAGCTGCACTTAGGGCTTCAGGTGCACAGAACTGAGTTGCTCATAGGCCTGAGTTCATGACACACTATCACTTTCATCCATGCAGAGCCGTCTCTGCTTCCCTTTCCCCTCTTCATTCTCCATTCTAGTCTCATTCTATTCCCTCCCACAAACCCTATTCTACTGATTATCCTCCTTATAAAATAATGTCACTTTGTGTGTTTATATAGCTGATTTTTGCTGTAAATTTCATTCTTATTTTTTTCATTTGGAGTCTATCATTTCACTAAATTCCAAACAGCTTGCATTTGACTTAAAAAAATACTCCATTATATGTATATACCAGATTTTATTTATCAATTTCCTTAGTGATGGACATCTGAGTTGTTTCCAAATTCTTGCCACCCAAACTATACATAGAAAAACATCCTTGTATCTACTCCTCAAGGACTTATCCAGATTTCTCTGAAGGATATAGTCAGGAGTGAAACTACTTTGAAGTATGTACACATTTAAAGTATTAGTTATCTGTTGCTTTATAACAATTGTTACGGTTATAAACTGCAACTGCTGTTGCTTACCTATCCTAAATGCAAATTACCTTCCCTAAATGCTTTAGCAGCTTAAAACAATAACAACTCATGGAATGAGGAAACTATTTACAAATCACATATCTAGCAAAGGATTTATAATCAAGATATATATAAAGAACACTTTACATAAGAGTGTGCTTGTGTATGTGTATATATAACCAATAAACCAAATGAAAAATGGGCAAAATATTTGAATAAAGATTTCTTCAAAAGATACATAAAGATGCTCAACATCACTAGCCACCAGAAAAATGCAAATCAAAACTTTAATGAGATATACCATCTCCCACCCACTAGGATGTCTATAATCAAAAAGACAAATAAGTGTTGGTAAGCATGTGGAGAAACTGGAATGTGCATACATTCCTTTGGAATAAGTTTGACAGTTCCTCAAAAAGTTAAACATGGGGTTACATATGACTCAGCAATTCTACTCCTAGGAATATAACCAAGAAAAAGGAAAATATACATCCATACAAAAACTTATACATGGATTGTCTACAGCAGCATTATTCCTAATACCCCAGAAGTGGAAACAACTTGAATGTCCACCAAATGATGCATAAATGTGGTATATCTGCACACGGGAATATTATTCAGCCATAAAAAGGAATGAAGTGCTGATGCATGCTACAACATGGATGAACCATGAAAACATTATGCTAAGCACAAAAAACCAGATACAAAAGGCCAAACATGATAGCCCCATTTATATCTTATTAGCATATGAAAGTCCAAAATAGACACACTACAGAGACAGAAAGTAGATTAGCATTTGCCTAAAGCTGGAGAAGTTAGGGGAAAGTGAGGAGTGACCACTAATGGGTACAAGGTTTCTTGTATCCACAAAATGATAAAAATGTTTAAAAATTGTGATGGTTGTACAACTCTGTGATATACTACAAACCACTAAATCATATACCTTAAGTGGGTGAACTGTATAACATGTAAATTGTATCTCAATAAAGCTGTTTTTACAAAATACTAAACATTTATTATCTCAGAGTTTCTTAGGTTCAAGAATCTGAAGCTGGGTGTTCTGGGTCAGGATCTCTCATGAGGTTGCTGATCAGGGCTGCAAGCCCCTGAAGGCCTGAGTACAGCTGGCAGATCCACTTCCAAGGTGATTTACTCCTACAGTCAGCAATTTGGTGCTGGCTGTTGGTGAGAGGCCTCAGTGCCTCTCCACCTGGGCCTCTCCAGAGGGCTGCTTGAGCCTTACAATATGGAAGCTGGCATCTTCCAGAGCAAGGATCCAAGATAGCACAAGGCAGATGTTTCAGTGCCATTAATGACCTACCTTCATAAGTCACACATTTCTAGTACCTCTTAGTACTAGAAATGGTTACACAGGTCAACCTTATTTATTGTGGGAGAGGACTATACAAGGGTTTATATACCAGAGAGCAGGGATCATTGGGGCCCATCTTGAAAGCTGGCTGCCCCACTTGATGATAATGATTACAGCAATAATAACAGCTAATAATTTTGTGACACTACTGTGTGCCAGGCATTGTTCTAAGATTACAATAAACCTATGAGGTAAGTACTATTATGCCTATTTCACAGATGAAGAAACTAAGGCACAAAGAAGTTAACTGGCTTAGCAAAAGTCAAACATCTAGCAAATGACATAGCTGGGATTCAAATTCAGGAAGTACAGCTCCAGAGCCACACTATTAAAAACTGCATATCGCTCCCTAGATACTACTTAATTTCAGTAAGTTTCATCCATTTGGTCTCCAAAATAAATACACCAGCTGAAATATTCCATGTAGCCAGGCGCAGTGGTTCATGCTTGTAACCGCAGCATTTTGGGAGGGCAAGGCAGACAGATCACCTGAGGTCAGGAGCTCGAGACCAGCCTGGCCAACATGGTGAAACCCCATCTCTACTATAAACAAAAAATGTGTAGCAAATGCCTATAGTCCTGGCTACTCAGGAGGCTGAGGTGGGAGGATTGCCTGAACCTGGGAAGCGGAGGCACCACTGAGCTCTAGCCTAGCAACAGAGTGAGACTCTGTCTCAAAAAAAGAAAAGAGAAACGGGAGAAAGAGAAAAGAGAGATAGAAAGAGAAAGAGAAAGAAATATTCCGTGAGTTCTGATTCCCCATCAGATCCGTCTCTTGCTTATTTTTGCAAACTAAGATGTAAGGTAGAAAGTCAGTGTTTTAATTAGCGTATCTCTAATTACTAGTGAGGTAATATACTTATGAGCCACTCTGGTTTTCTCTTTAGATTTTCCCTATTCATATTTTCACATATTTTTATTTCATTGTCTTTTTCTTCATGAGTTACAGAAGCTCTTTCTATATTCTATCCCTTATATATGCAATCCTTGTCAGTTTTAGACACTGCAAATATTTTCTCCTAATCCATACCCATCTTTAGCTTTGACTATGGGATGCTTTGCCAAATAGAAACGTTTAATTACAAAGCAATCAAAGCTATCAACTCTTATGCCTTGTGCTTTGGGATCTTATTTAAGAAATTTATCTTTACCCCAAGGTCACAAAAACATTTGCCATTTTTTTCTACTAGCTGTATCACGTTATCTTTCATTTAGGTCTTTAATCACTTTGGGATTTTTGTTTTATATGGTATGAAGATTCAACTTTATTTTTGTCCATATAATAAGCCAATTTTCGGAGCACTATTATCCATCTCTTCCCTACTAACTTGTGATGCTACCGTTGCCATGCACTACATCTTCAAATACCCACGTGTCTATTCCTAAATCTAGTTTAGTACTAATTCCTCTTTTCTCAGAGGACGTATCTATCACTAAGAAGTTTTTACTCACATTGCTTTCTAGATCAATAAAAAATTCAACCATCACCCCCCAAATCCCCAGGGGTTCATTATTAGCCTGTATTCTTCCCAAAACAGAATACCCAGTAAGGAAAATAATTTTAAAAAAATAAATGTATGTTTATTTAAAAAAGAAAAACCTTAACCAAGAACAAACCCTGGTACACTGAGAAATCAATGCTTCTTCTGAAAGCCAGCAATAGCCGGTGCTGTCACACCCAGGAAGTACAGGTACCTCAGTCCAAACATCAGGTCTCAAATACTCTTCTGTGGTCAAAACTGGCATTCAACAAGTTTCTGGTCTGTGTGGGCTCCAATTATTACCACAGACAACTGTTACCTCTGGATATCTCACTGCCTATGCCCACTACCACAGCCCTGCCACCCCCACAGCCTCAGGAAAGTTACATATCCTCAACACTCCATTTGTAGGCAAGTTCCTCCACTGCTTTCTTGCTGGCAAGCCTGGCAAAGCGCTTCTGTTCAAATCCATTGGATCTGCAATCAAAAGAGACATACTATTCAGCCAGAACCCTAAATGGACATTTATTTTGTAAGAAAGGGAAGAGTTCACAATATAATGAGAAGGGAGAAAAGGAGTCATATGAAAATAATTAAGGCATATGCAATAGAATCAAAGGTACAAAATATATCATTCATCCTTTTCTTAGTCCTTGTTCAGACCCTTCTCCCAGTCTGACAGCTATTTCAAACATTTGCCACTCTCTAAAAGCCCAGCTGTCTCTCAGTGGATGTCCACATCTTGTATTTTATCCACTCATTACACAAACATTTATTGAATTTTGATATATACTAGGTACTGTGGTAGGCATTGCATGAAAATAAGCATGACACAGCACTTGTCCTGATGAACTCCCAGACTAGTGGAAGAGAGAGACATTTAAACAAATAAAAGAACCACATAAACTCTGGTAGAAATACGCATGGGGTATCATGGAAACAGAATGGGTATCTTAATCAGTTTATGGGGGTATGATGAAAAGGTCACATGAGGGTTGGGCAAGAATGATCAGTAAAGGCTTTGTGTTAACTACAGTGCTGGGGATGGGGAGGTTCAGAAGAGTCTGGAGGTCATTTCGGAACAGAATGAGTAACAAGAACAAAGGCACAGAAGTAAGAAATAGCCTGGTATGTGCAATAAACCAAAGGCAACTGGGATGGCTGGAGCCATAGTATGACAAAGGAAACAGCTATGAGTCAAAGTTGGAAAGGTAGGCAGAGGCCAATGCATAATGAGCTTTATAGGCCATGGTGTAAAGCTTAGATTTCATCCAGAAAGGATGGGTTTAAAGTAAGAACTGATGCTGCATTTCAAAGAGATCACTCTGGAGGGGATCTGGGGCAGGAAAATCACTGCAATGGTCCAGGCAACAGATGATAAAGGCAATGATAAAGGGGGGCAGAAGAGAGAAGACACAGGAGGCAAAATTAGTAAGACTAATTAGTAGGACTATGGATCAGGTACACAAGGACAAAGAAGGAGGTAAGTTAGAAAGCACAAGTGTAGGAGCAGACTTACAGTAAGAGAAGCTGATGAGTTCAGCTTTGAATACAATGCATTTGAAATCTCTCAAGTCTATATCAATAGAAAAATCCAACACAGAGCTAAATACACCAAACCAAGATGCAAATACTGATTTGGAAATCATGTACACATAGGTCATAGTTGAAAACATGACTAGGTAAGAATCAGCCAGAGGGAGTCCATAGAATAAGAATAGCTAAAGGTTAGGGGAGGAGCCCTGGGAAAGATTTAAGAGGCTCACAGAGGAAGACAAGCTTCCAAAGGTGGCCAAGAAGTATCAGAGAAAAGAACCAGGAGAAGGGTGTCATGGAAAACAATACAGGGTGAATTTCAAGAAGGTAGTGAGGGACCTCAAATTCCTTCTAATTACCATGCATTCTCTTGGTCTTCTTATCTAAACTTCTTGAAAGAGCCTGCATTCACTATTTGTTTCCTCACTTTTCTTTTCTTTTCTTTTTATTGCATTTTAGGTTTTGGGGTACATGTGAAGAACATGCAAGATTGTTGCATAGGTACACACACAGCAGTATGATTTGCTGCCTTCCTCCCCTTCACCTATATCTAGCATTTCTCCCCATGCTATCTCTCCCCACCTCCCCACCCCCCATCCCTCCCCCATTTCCCCCCAACAGACCCCAGTGTGTAGTGCTCCCCTCCCTGTGTCCATGTGTTCTCATTGTTCAACACCAGCCTATGAGTGAGAACATGCGGTGTTTGATTTTCTGCTCTGTCAGTTTGCTGAGGATGATGGTTTCCAGGTTCATCCATGTCCCTACAAAGGACCCGAACTCATCTTTTCATTCACTCCTTAATACATTAGAACCTGGCCTTTGTTTCACTATACCAGGGAACTAGCCCTTTCAGGTCATCAATGACATCCCTTGTAGTCAAATCCAGTGACTCCTCCTTCTTCCTCCCCAAATCAATAAACAGGTCCCACCAGCTCACTCCTAACCACATCCCCACTTCCTATTCTCTTACTAACCATCCTTACTACCACTGCCTGAAGGTCATAGTTTAGATATTCATTACCTTTAGCCTGAGCTACGGAAAAAGCCTTGTATCTGCTCTACTTCCAATCTTGTACCTTTCTAATCCTTCACATTACTGTTATAATGATTTGTCTATCTAAAATACAGAGCTGTTTTTAATCCTTCCATGGCTCCCCTTTGCCTCTACGGTAAAGACTAAGCTCCTCAGAAAGGCTTCCAAGGCCTTCTGTGATCAGGGTCTTGCCTACCTCTCTCATCCATCCCTCACTTTATGCTATCTAACAACAGCAAACTGGTTATGGACCCCCATCACCTGGTAACACCATAGTGTCTCACAGTGTTGACTCTGCACTTACAGGATCCTCTTCCTTTAACATCTTTCCTTTCCTTCTTATCTTGGCTGGTTACTGACATCCCTTAAAACTCAGCTCCCACATTTCATCCATTAGGAAGCACTCCCTGATCACATCCTCATAAGGGTCAACTTACTCTTCCTTTGTGCTCCCAAAACGTATTGAAAATCTTCTATAGTAATACTAACCAAACAGCACTGAAATTGTCTGTCTTCTATTCTAGATTGAAAGTGAGCTCCTGGGCTCAGGGGTTGTCTCTCATTAATTGTGGAATCCCTAGTACCTAGTACCTAGCTGCTTACACTTATAACATATATGCTAAGACTTTCCCTTAAGGGATGAGCAAAGTGAATAATGGAGGCTTTAAGAACAAGGGAAGTGGCCAGGCACAGTGGCTCACACCTGTAATCCCAGCACTCTTGGGAGGCCGAGGCAGGTGGATCACAAAGTCATGAATTCAAGACTAGCTTGGCCAAAATGGTGAAACCCTCTCTCTACTAAAAATACAAAAAAAAAAAAAAAATTAGCCAGGCACGGTGGTGGGCACCTGTAATCCTAGCTACTCAGGAGGCTGAGGCAAAGAATTGCTTGAACCTGGGAGGCAGAGGTTGCAGTAAGCTGAGGTCACGCCACTGCACTCCAGCCTGGGCAACAGAGTGAGACTCCATCTAAAATAAAAGAAAAGAAGGGAAGTTTGGCCAGGCGCAGTGGCTCACATCTGTAATCCCAGCACTTTGGGAGGCCAAGGCAGGTAGATCACCTGAAGTCAGGAGTTTGAGACCAGCGTGGCCAACATGGTGAAACTCTGTCTCTACTAAAAGTACAAAAATTAGCTGGGCATAATGGCACACACCTGTAATCTCAGCTACTCGGGAGGCTGAGGCAGGACAATGGCTTGAACCCAGAAGGTAGAAGTTGCAGTGAGCCAAGATCATGCCACTGCACTCCAGCTTAGTGACGAGCGAAATTCCGTCTCAAAAAAAAAAAGAAGAAGAAGAAGAAGAAGGGAAGCTTATTATAAATGACATCCTCTCCAACCTTAGAAGCATGGATGGTATTCCAAAGCACCAAGGAAACCACTGGTTTTTACCTTGGAAATAAGGTCTTGAGAGATTTACGTGAATATGATAATACAAAGAACGTATGAATAACAAACACCAAATCCTAAGCAGAATCAGAAAACAAACTGCAGGAGAACTCACAGTGGAAAGAGCTTTGGACCAGAGAATCAGGAACACTGAGTTTTAATTCCAGCTTTCTCAGGGGAGTTGCATGACTCTAAGCAAACTGCTTATTTATTGGGCCTCCGTTTGTCTTTTAATTAATAGGGGCTGGGTAATTATCTTATAGGTTTTTCCAACTGTAATATACTAAATATCTGTTCTGGAAATATTCCCTTGCAGTGGGCCCAAAAGAGACAAAACTAGAAAAGATGATGAAAGATGAACAACAGAAAGACAGCAAGGGTGGCAAAGGGAAATAAGAGGAGAAATCCAGGACAAAATAAGAACAAGAAGTAGAAAAAAGTGACTGAGAAAGATGAAAACAAATTAAACACTAGTAAAAAACTAGGTCAGGAAGAATTCTAAGTTCTGGGTCCAAAAATTTAAAAAAAAAAAAAAAAACTCAATAGCAGGGAACATCTGTAGGCTTGTGCTATAAAAAGATCTACTTCTGGCTCTATGTATGGCAAATCAGTATTCTGAAAAATCCTCCTTCTACTAAAAAGCCTACATACAGTGAATTGCAAATGGAACTAGTAAGCTAGCTTGTAACCACAGCCACCCTAAAGATATTTGCCAATATAAGAAACTAGAGTCATCCTATACATATCTGCCAACATCAGAAAGAAGAGCATTACATTTTTTTAAATTCTAGAGATAGGGTCTCACTATGTTGCTCAACTTGGACTCAAACTCCTGGCTTCAAGTGATCTTCCTGCCTCAGCCTCCAAGTAGCTGGTACTACAGACATATGCCACTACACCTGGCTGTTGGATTTTGATGGCACCCAGAGGGACAGAAGACAATGCCTTAGGCCCATATAAGGTAGAGAGGTGAAGTCACATTGCAGAGTAACCTGAGCAGACTAACCTATCCTCAATTAGCAATTATAAAACCTAGACAAAATTTTAAAATGAAAGTATTTGAAGGTGTGGAAGAGTGACCAAAAGCAAGCATAAATCGGACTAAGTATATGTGAAAAGAATCTGTGAGTCCTTTTGCTGAAGGGCAACTTCCCAAACAACATAGCTCACGAAGGCAGAAACCCACAGGCTTACTAGCTTGAGGAATTAGTACAAAGTGGACAGAACAGCTAGGAAATTAGGGGGGAAATTTTGGAAGAGAAGGAACTACAAAAGGTATGAACTTCAAACTCTGCATACAAACTCTACTCAAATCCTTGGCTAACTGTTAAACAACACATGTGCAGAGAAAATGCCATCCAGCCAATAAAAAAAATGGCAGCTAGAAACTAAAAGAACTGAGCAGAGATTTTAGCTGCGGTCCACTGCAAAGGAGACAATTTGGAGTTTAGCCATGTTAACTACCTCCTAGAATAAAAACCCACACACTTAAGAGGAATACAATGTAACAGAACTCAAAATCTCTACAGTGTATCATTTATGATGGCTAGTAACAATTTTAGTAACAATTTTTAAAAGTGACCAGACAGGTAAATAAACAGGAAAATATAATACACTCTGAAGAAAAAGTTGTCAATAGAAACCAATCCTGTGGTGAATCACAATGCTGCAATTAGCAGACAGGACTTCAAAGTACCAATGGCAAATCATAAATATTTTCAAGATGAGGAAAATGTCTCATAACGAACAGATGGGAAATCTCAGCAGAGAAATGTAAGCTATTAAATGGAAATTTTGGAGTTGAAAAACAAAATAAACCACCCAAAACACAAAATTCACAATTGATAATAACTGAGAGAAAAATACAAAGACAAAACAAACAGAATACAGGCGATCTAAGATCTAAACACTATTAATCACCTTAACCTCACTGACATTTATAAAACACTACCTTAAACAGCCACAGAATATATGTTCTTTTCAAGTGCAAGTGAAACATTCAGAAGATAGACAATATACTGGGCCATAAAACACATCTTAACAAATTTCATTTTTACTGCTGTTTTTTGAGACAGGGTCTCACTCTGTCATCCAGGCTGGAGTGCAGTGGTGCAATCACAGCACATTGCAGCCTCGACCTCCCTGGGCTCAGTGATTCTCCCACCTCAGCCTCCTGAGTAGCTGGGACTACCCGTGTGTCACCAGGCCCGACTAATTTTTGTATTTTTTTTGTAGAGACAGAGTTTTGCCATGTTGCCCAGGCTGTTCTTAAACTCCTGCACTCAAGCAATCCACTTGCCTCGGGCTCCCAATGTGTTGGGATTACTGGAGTAAGCCATCACCCCTGGACAACAAATTTCAAAAGATCAAAACATTACAGAGTATATTATCTGACAAAAATTGAATTAAATTACAAGTAAACAGCAGTAAGATACCTAGAAAAGTCCAAATATTTGGCATTAATGTACTCCTAAATAGCCCATGGAGCAAAGAATAAACCAAAAGGACAGTTAGAAAATATTTTGAATAAAATCCAACATACATTCCTGAAAACAAAACTCAGCAAAAAAAGGAATAGAAGGGAACTTTAACTCATTAACGGGTATCTACAAAAAAAACCTACAGCTTACTACACATTTAAGGGAAAAAAAAGTAAGTGTTTTCCTCCTGAGATTAGAAATAAAGCGAAGACGTCTGCTCTCACAACTTCTATTCAACATCTGCACTGAAGTGCTAGCTAATGCAACAGGGCAAGAAAAAGAACAAAAAGCATCTAGATTGGGAGGTAAGAAATAAAACTGTATGCAAAGATGAAATGACCCTCTAGCCCTCTGGGTACAAAATCTGGTGGAATCTACAAAAAAGCTATTGTACAAAGTAAGCTTTAAGTGGGAAAAAAAAAAAACTGGCAATATTTGTTGCCAGTGATAATTTTGAAAAACTGTGAACTCTTTAACCTCCCATTATTTAAAGACTTTTGTGATGAGACCAGAAGTGATGATAACAAAAGTGATTTTCTGATATTGTATAGTGGAAATATGTCAACATTTGGAAGGTCTGAAAAACTCAGCAAACCAATATTTTACAAATGACCAAGGCATGATGTTAAAATCATGCATGGATAAAAGATCCAAAGTATAAAAGATATTAATATAACAGTAACAAAAGTTCTTTGATCTGGTTTCAGGTTCCACATAACTAACCTTTAAAAAACCAGCACTCGCTGAGTTTCTGTGTAACACTGAGAAATACGCCTTCTCTTTCTAACTACCTATGTGTGAAGCTAAATTTTCTTCCTATACTTCAACTGAACAACATACCAAAAGACATATACAGATATCTACTATTGAGTCAGACATTAATGAGATTTGTAAAAATGTAAATCAGTGCCACCCTTCTATTTTTTTTCACTTGAAAAATATAATTCTTTTTCATTTAAAAATACAGTAATTATGTTAACATGTAATTATTTTTTAGAATGAACACTTTTTAAATGTCTGAGTTTTAATTTCTAATATGGTAAATATCAATATATATAATCCACATAAACGAAAGCTTTTTAAGGTCATAGTAATTTTTTTTTTTTTTTTTTTTTTTTTTGAGACGGAGTTTTGCTCTTGTTACCCAGGCTGGAGTACAATGGCACGATCTCGGCTCACCGCAACCTCCGCCTCCTGGGTTCAGGCAATTCTCCTGCCTCAGCCTCCTGAGTAGCTGGGATTACAGGCACGCACCACCATGCCCAGCTAATTTTTTGTATTTTTAGTAGAGACGGGGTTTCACCATGTTGACCAGGATGGTCTCGATCTCTTGACCTCGTGATCCACCCGCCTCGGCCTCCCAAAGTGCTGGGATTACAGGCTTGAGCCACCACGCCCGGCCGGTCATAGTAATTTTTAAGAGTGTAGGCTGGGCACGGTGGCTCAAGCCTGTATTCCCAATACTTTGGGAAGCTGAGGCAAGAGATCATACAAGGCCAGTAATTTGTGATCAGCCTGGCCAATGTGGCAAAACCCTGTCTCCACCAAAAATACAAAAATTAGGTCTATACGATGACGCACGCCTGTAATCCCAACTACTCGGGTGGCTGAAGCATGAGAATCATTTGAACCCAGGAGGTGGAGATCACACCACTGCACTCCAGCCTGGGCAACAGAGCAAGATTTTGGCTCAAAAACAACAACAAAAAAAAAAGAGTGGCCAGGCATGGTGGCTCACGCCTGTAATCCCAGCACTTCGGGAGGCTGAGGTGGGTGAATCACGAGGTCCGGAGTTAAGACCAGCCTGGCCACATGGTGAAACCCCATCTCTACTAAAATACAAAAATTAGCCAGGCACGGTGGCAGGTACCTGTAATCCCAGCTACTCAGGAGGCTGAGGCAGAGAATTGCTTGAACCTGGGAGCTGGAGGTTGCAGTGAGCCGAGATCATGCCACTGTACTCCAGCCTGGGGGACAGAGTGAGACTTTGTCTCAAAAAAAAAAAAAAAAAAAAAAAAAAGAGTGTAAAAGGGCCCTGAGATTAAAAAGTTTGAGAATTATTGTGCTAGATACTAAAACAATGTCCTTTAGTAGGCAGGAGGAGATGGGATCTAATATGTGAGTACAGGGACTGACTTTGGTTGGAAGCAAATATAGCTCATCCAACAGACAGGAAGTTAGTATGTGAGTACAGATGCTGGTAGGTAGACAGATGAGGTGGTAAGGACTGTGAGACATTAAAAGTGACTCCCTCCTAAGACCATAAAGGGAATAAAGGTTCAAAGACTACATTTTAAAAGATATATCATATAGAAGGCTCCAGACTACAACTCATCATTCATCCCCTCTAAACCTTAGAAAATAACATTAAAAATAACTAATGCCCAAAACAAAGGGTATCTTATCTGAACCACCTGAGTTGTTTGTCCAGAGTTTTAAAAAGTATTTTGAAAAGAAAACAGAAGGAAGAGTGTTCTAAGTATGAGAAATAGGATTTGTGGACCTCAGAAATAGAAGCAAGCAAAGTGTGTATTTTTCACCTTGTGATTAAAGCAGGGAATGAAATGAAGTGTAGAGCAATTTATAGTGGTTAGGGAAGGTTACAGTCAGGTAGAAGAGAAAATAAAAATGTAAGAAATACTCAGGCTTACCTGTCCACTCCATCCCAGCGATATCCAGGCCAGATATTAAATCTGTTGGGAGGAGGTGCTGGACCACTGTAGCGAGGTCTCACTAATGAGAGGAGTAACAAAAAAGTATTTAGTTAATGACATAATTTAATTCAAAGCTGGATGGCAATGTGGAATTTTTTTTTTTTTTTTTTTAGAGAAAGAGTCTTATTCTGTTGCCCAGGGTGGAGTGCAGTGACACAATCTCGGCTCACTGGAACCTCTGCCTCCCTGGTTCAAGCAATTCTCGTGTCTCAGCCTCCCAAGTAGCTGGGATTACAGGCATGCACCACCACGCCCATCTAATTTTTCTTTCCTCTTTTTTTTTTTTTTGTATTTTTAGTAGAGACAGGGTTTTACCATGTTTGCCAGGCTGGTCTCGAACTCCTGACCTCAGGTGATCCACCCACCTCAGCCTCCTAAAGTGCTAGGGTTACAAGCATGAGCCACTGCACCTCACTCGGAAAAATTTTTACATAGAAATACCAACTGAGTTGAATGTAAACTCACAATGAATTTAAATTATTTGGAAAATCCTTCCTTGCATATAGATATGTATCAGCACCCTAATGATTCTCAATCTTGACAGTCACCTCCAACTCTGACGATTCCCAGAAGTCCCACCTTTCTTATTCTTGTTCTCCTTGGCCTTATTCTTCTTGATGAAGTTAGCCATGGGGTCCCCCTCTCTTTCTTGTTCTCTTAGCATCCTATCCAGGTCTTCATCATCAATATAGCGGGCCAGAGGCTTCTGCATCTCTTTCATTGCATCCTCCACATTCTGTTGCTGTTGCCGGCTCTGGGCAAGCCTGGGCAAAAATGAACCAAGAGTGTTTGCTATCCTGTATGACATTTCCATTTCTACATGAGATGGACCATACTGCTAAATTTGGAGAATCTCCTCTTTCTAGTAGCCTAGGCCAAATACTGAATAGGGTAAAATTCCCAGAATACCCACTGGAAGTGTGGAATATATCAACATCCTACAAAGAAGATTCGCACACCAAATTTCCCATTACTGATAACAGCTCTGAAGGCATAATAAGAAAGTGAGTGGTCAGAAGAGCAGAGAAATGACTTGTTCCAGTCACTGCCATTTTGTTTACCCTTTTGGTCATTCCCTTACCCTTTTCCCCACTGGGCATACAGCTCATCTCTCTCTGAGTCCTTTTCTGCTTTCCTCCTTTGCTCTAAACGTTCGAGTTTCAAATTCCTCTTACGACCAGACTTATCTCGAAATACAGTTTCAGCATATTGAAATTCAGCTGCAAAGGAAAATTATACTCAAATATCAGAATCAAAATCAAAAACAACATTCTAAGAGATCAAATCAACCGCCTGGGACTCTAATGCTAGGTAAGAACTTTTGCAGCCAGACCAAAGTAGTCCCTACCAACATTTAGGTGCATATTGGCACTGGGCCCGAGAAATGGCATTTTTCTTTTCTTCTTCTTCTTCTTCTTTTTTTTTTTTTTTTTTGAGGCAAAGTCTTGCTCTGTTGCTCAGGTTCTCAGGTTGGAGTGCAGTGGCACAATCTCGGCTCACTGCAACCTCCGCCTTCCAGGTTCAAGCGATTTTCCTGTCTCAGCCTCCTGATTAGGTGGGATTATAGCCACACACCACCAGGTACAGCTAGTTTTTTTGTATTTTTAGTAGAGACAGGGTTTTACCATGTTAGCCAGGCTGGTCTTGAGCTGCTGGCCTCAGCTGATCCACCCGCCGTGGCCTCCCAAAGTGCTGGGATTACAGGCATGGGCCATTGCGCCCAGCCAAAATGGCATTTTTCAAGAAGGAAAGAAACACTGGGACTCAGTAAGAAGTTATAACGATGCATAAAACCAGAGCTGAAATTTGATAGCAATTAGAAGTTTAAAATATCAGGTACAATAAGCTATGTTTTTTTAAAAAGCAACATGAGCCTAGATTGGTCTCTGCGCTTTCATATTTTTACCTTCAAATGCCATGGTTTCTTGGTCCTGTTTCTTGAGCTCCTGCTGCTCTCGCTGTATGTCAGTTAACACCAACCCAGTTTTAGCCCCAGAATACATGTATGCAGCCTATGCAATGGAAAAGGGAGCATCCAACATTAATGGGATGATGTGGCAGTAGGCTCCATGGGTACACAGTTAGATGCATTTGTGTCTGATGACCAGCAATAATTAAACCTAAAACTCTAGCTTTATATTCTCATTAATTATCACAAGATTCAAAAACTATAAAAGAAAGAAAATCTAATTTCATAAAAAAATTAATACCATCAAGTTTAAGAATAAACAGAAACACAAATGAACAATATATTAAAGGGAGGAATATGCATTTGCATTTCTGACTTTTCAGTATAGAAACTGCACATGAAGATTCTCTCAGGTCATCTGATCAGAAGCCAGTATAAAGCACTAAGTCTTCCATTAGAGACCCACACTGACAAAATATTCCATTTAAAATACAAACTCAAGAAAACCTAAGATCCTTAAATTGTCGATATATTTCAGGGTAATAACAGAAGATCTAACCAAATGAAAACTTTTTGCTAATTTCCACTTAGTATCAAGATAGCAAACCAGCCCACAAATGAAGCACACAGTATATCCTGATATCCTTAAGCAACTAAATTGGACCAATATTAAGTTGTCCATGAACTAAATGGATACATAAAATGTCAAGGGGTCCAGCTGAAACAGAAACCTCTTTTTTCCAGAAAAGAGAAGACTCTCACTCTCTGGGTAAAGAAAAGGCTGGTCTACCCTGCCAGGACCAGTCTTCTCATATTCTTGTTCAACAGACAAGATTTACCTAGTAAGTCTGCACTGGGGAGAAAAATGCACATCACAGGCTCCATCATTCTGTTTCTTAACCACTCACAAATCAGATTCCTTTACCACTATGAATGTTCTTTACAATAGAATTACTCAAGGTTCATATGGAGTTTCGGGTTTTTTGGCTAATTCATCAAGCCTTATCATGAACTCAGAACAAAAGATTAACTTCCCAGACAACATAATTTCTAAAAGTAGTTTCGTATTTTAAGTGTCTCTTCTTAAGCTCTGGATACCGAGACCTATAGGTCAATTTATACTAGTAAATCACCAACACCAGATGCTTACACTAGATGCAGGCACTACGCTAAGAGATTTACTTACACTGGCTTAATTATCACAACCTTACACAGTAGGTACTACTATTAACCACAATTTACAGATAAAGAAACTGAGGTTTAGCGATATTAAGCATCTTGCCCAAATCTCACAGACAGTAAGTGGCAGAAGGATAATTTCAATATGTGATTTGTTTGACACAATGCTTGTGCCCCAAACTCCACTCTGCAAATCACAGTCCTCAGTTTATTCCTAAGAAAATAGGAAGTTTTTCTGGACCTGCTAAAATGAGATTTGTAGAATTAAGAGGCTATAAAAGCAGAAGTGACTTGGGAAATGTGGTATCTATAAATCCACCTGGGCTGGGTTATAGCCAGTTTGCCTTCAGAAAGAAAGAGATCCAAAGGTCCTTTTAACTAAGATTTACTACACTTCTAAAAGCTACATCCTTCTCCTTTGGCTTGATTATCTGGGACACATATAAAGCTGGGAGAGAAGAGTCATGCGAAAAGGACATAGCTCCTGAAAATCCTGACCTTCTTTCCAGGAGGCTGACTCCTTCGAGGTGGGGACAGGTCAGAATCAGAAGATTTGGTCCTCTGTCTCCTCCTTGGTGGAGAGAGGTCAGAATCAGAGCTCTGGTGCCTAGGTCTATTCCGTGGAGGTGACAGATCTGAATCAGAATCCTGGTGCCCTGTACTTTGTTTATGCCGTGGAGAAGAACAGTCTGAATCAGTTGCTTTCTGGCAGTTACCTGGATAGAAGGAAAGAATCTGTGTGACTCTGATGTCCCCTAGGTAAAGAACTTACATGAAATCTCCTATGGCTGGGAGAAGAACCACCAAATGAAAGAATTCTTTTTTTTTTTTTGAGACAGTCTTAGGCTGGAGTGCAGTAGCACGACCTCAGCTCATTGCAACCTCTGCCTCCTGGGTTCAAGTGATTCTTGTGTCTCAGCCTCCCAAGTAGCTGGAACTACAGGCGTGCGCCACCACACCCGGCTAATTTTTGTGTTTTTAGTAGAGAAAGGGTTTTGTCATGTTGGCCAGGCTGGTCTTGAACTCCTGACTTCAGGTAACCTGCCCATCTTGGCCTCCCAAAGTGCTGGGATCACAGGCTTGAGCCACCATGCCTGGCCAAAGAATTCTTTAATCCCCCTGGAAGAATCTAAAAAAAATAACTTACCAAGCTAATGTACAATATTTATTTAGCTTTCCTATGGAGAATTCTCATTAACCTAAACGTAAGTATGAATGACACAGGAGAAAAGCAAAGTCAGAAACAACTTTTAAGACCAACAGGTAGAAGATGGCATTCTATTACCAAGTGACCAGTAACTGTAACTGGTGTGTGAGATCTCCACACACTCCTCTATGTCAGTTACCCCACCCATGGACAGACAAAACAATTTGTAGTCAGTGCCCCATAGTGTGGCAAAAGTCAGAAATACGTAGAATACATTCTGATATCCTCAGACTAAAGGATAACAAAGTACTTTAATTTTAAAATTAAAATAGTTCCTAGAAACAAAAGAGGGAGTAAAATATTTCACTGCACAGGCCTAAGTTCTCATGACTGTATAAGCATCACAAATCACCTCCCAAAGAGCAATCTGCATTTGTATCAACAGTCTTTAAAATGACCACATCTACTTTTTTTTTTTTTTTTTTTTTTTAATGAGATGGAGTTTCGCTCTTGTTACCCAGGCTGGAGTGCAATGGCGCCATCTCGGCTCACCGCAACCTCCGCCTCCTGGGCTCAGGCAATTCTCCTGCCTCAGCCTCCTGAGTAGCTGGGATTACAGGCACGCGCCACCACGCCCAGCTAGTTTTTTGTATTTTTAGTAGAGACGGGGTTTCACCATGTTGACCAGGATGGTCTCGATCTCTCGACCTCGTGATCCACCCGCCTCGGCCTCCCAAAGTGCTGGGATTACAGGCTTGAGCCACCGCGCCCGGCAAATGACCACATCTTCTAACCCAGTACATCAACTTCTCAGCTTTCTAGGAAACCTATATAGAAGTGGTTGAATTTCCAGGAAATCTATCTAGAAATAGATAAGGAAATAATCAAAAATGGGGACAACACTTTATGTACAAGATGTTTGTTACAGAATTGCAGAAGCAAAAACTTAGAAATAACCAAAAACACTCATTATCAGAAATACGGTTAAGTAATTTTATGTAATGGAACACTATTAAAATTGTATTAACATAAAGATGTTTTTACGGCCTGAGGAAGACTGTTAAGAAAGGACAGCAGACAAGATTACAAATGCAATACAAATATTCTGCATAGCCAGAGCTCAACTATATCAAAAATGCAAATCAAAAACCAGAAAAGATTAAGATGACCCTGGCTGCAACACTAACAACTGCCCCTGAATGACAGAATTTTGTGTCACTTTTCTCTTATACATTTCTGTACATTCTAAAGCTTCTGCAACCAAAAAAAAAAATGTACTTTTATATGGAGTGGGGCAAGTAAATAAAGAGATATATGAAAAGCTTCCTCCATGCCACCATCATTTTTTAACCCTCCCAACCCCAGCCTCTCACTTTTCAAAACCTTCCCAAAGAAACTCCATTCTTATACCTTATAAAGCAAGTAAAGGGCTAAAAGAAAACTCCCAGGGATACATACATCCCTCTCGTGGACAGTCATATGCTCACCTTTGGAATCAAGCTGCTGCTTATCTCCAAAATGGGATTTTGCTTGCTTTTTTCGTGGAGGAGAGAGGTCAGAGTCATACTCATATTTGCTGTTCTTTGGGAGTGACGAATGAGAGGCTCCTGACTCCTTCCAATGTGAAGAAGTCTTGCTAGAGGCTCTTTCTGGGGCTTTACTACTTTTGGTTCTGGGCACGGAATGAGTGACATTAGGAGCCAAATCAGGGGAGTCATGACGAGCCCTTCTGAGTTGCTGTGTGTCTGAAGAGCCAAGAGTCCTCCTAGGTTTATATGTGTCAGGGGAGTTGTTATGGGCCCTTCTGGGGGGAGAGGTATCTGAGGAATCATAACGGGCTCGCCTAGGAGGAGAGGGATCTGGTGAATCATGACGGGCTCGCCTAGGAGGAGAGGGATCTGGTGAATCATGACGGGCTCGCCTAGGAGGAGAGGGATCTGGTGAATCATGATGGGCTCGCCTAGGAGGAGAGGGATCTGGTGAATCATGACGGGCTCGCCTAGGAGGAGAGGGATCTGGTGAATCATGATGGGCTCTCCTAGGAGATGCACCTGAAGAATTATGCTGAGGCTTCCTGGGGGGAGAAGGATCGGGAGAATCATGACGGGCCCTCCTTGGGGGTGAAGTGTCTGAGGTGTCATGACGGATCCTCCTGGGAGATGTGTCTGAGTCATGACAAGCCCCTCTGAGGAGAGAAGGATCTGGGGAGTCATGATGGGCCCTCCTAGGAGATGAATCCGGTGTATCATGATGGACTCTCCTAGGAGATGAATCTGGGGTATCATGACGAAAATGCCCATGTGAGAGTAGGTCTTCATTGTGGCCTAAATACAAATAACAAATAGTCAGATTCTCATAAATGCTCTGTCCCTCTGTCCCCGCCTCACACCCAGTTTCAAAAGATGCTCCAGCAGCACATACCTCAGAACTGCTCAGAAAGCCCAAAAGGCCTGCAGTTTCCTTGTTTAGGGGCAGCAAATCAGCACTCATGAATATCTTAAGAATAACCCCTCTTATTAGCCTACCAAGTTATAAATTTGCAAAGTATTTCCAGTACATTTTTCATATTATACCCTGTAAGATAAGCAGGGCAGGTACCCTTGTATTACAGGATGATGTTTTCAGCTGAGGAGCTGAGTGATTTCTGACCTAAGGTCACAGCTACTAAGATGAAGACACAGGCTAGAATCCAAGTCTTCTAACTCCCAGTCCAATGTTCTTTCTAAAACCTCATTTGTGCAGAGTTACCAGACAGTGGCTCCTACTGATATTTAGTCTAGATACTTATAGTTCATACTCACCCTTCTTTCAAAAGGTAAACTGACTAAACCAGTAAACATCAAAATAAAATGTTGTTAACTATTTAATCCATTTCACTGTGCTCTTTGTTAGAGAGGGGAAAAATCACTACCGAAAAAAAAAAAAAAAGGAACAAGCATTTACCAATCACCTACTGTGTGCCAATGTTTTATATAGGTTACCTGATTCAATTCTCACAACAAGCCTGGGACATAAATATTGCCATTTCCATTTTACACATGAGGAAGCTGATACTCAGAAAGATTAACTTGCCAAAGTCATACTGCTAATAAGTGGTGGAGATATATTTAAATCCAACTCTATTTGACTCCAGATTCCATATGCAATCTTTAAAATATGTAAATCTTTAAAGTGAAAATACATAGTTTGAGACTTTCCATTTTCAGAGGCACCGCAGAATGAAACATCTATAGCAACTGGAATGGTTTCAAATTCCAGTTCTTCCTCTACCTCTATTTCTTGTCATTGAGCTCCATAGCCCAAATACAAATAACAGCTAGGCAGGACCTGATGAATACTTGTTAAATAGATGAATTAAACCAAGTCAACTCCTTTAGTTTGGGGAACAGGCCTATCTGATTAGAATCCACTCCACAGAGAAAAGTATGATGTCTGTGGGGGGCCTAACAGCAAATCTAAAGGAAGTAAGGGTCAGAGATTGGTGAGCATATTTCCAGTAACAAATTGGGATAGGGAAGTGAGAGTAAGGCAGAAGAAAAGGAGAGGGGGAGGGGGAGGAGTGAGAGAGAGGGAAGGAGAAAGAGAGAGAGGGAAGGGGGGGAGAGAGAGACAGAGAGAGAGAGAGTGTGTGTGACTTTCTACACATTCAGATACAGAAGAAAAAGCACTGTGTGTGTGTGCATGTGTGTGTGTCTTTCTAAACATTCAGATACAGAAGAAAAAGCACTGTGTGTGTCTGTGTGTGTGTGTGTGTGTGTGTGTGTGTGTGTGTGTGTCTTCCTAGACAAACAGATACAGAGACCAAAAGATTTTCTTTGGAAAAGAATTCTGATTAGGCTACAGAAATCAAATCCCTACTAGCAATTCAACAATTCTACAAATATTTACTAGGTAGCTCCTTGTGCTAGACAGAGGAATATCATGACAAATAAGACTAGACTATGCTCAAACGGATGTGATAAACAAATGCTTTTTATCCAATTCTCAAGGACTCACATTTTTTTTAAGACAGTTAAATTATAAATATTAGCTTAAGAAGAGTCTAGAGTGGGCAAGTGGAGGGTAATGCACTGTAAAATACCAATATTTAAGGAAAAAAGAGAGAAATTTACTAATACAAATAAACAGAACAAAAAACATTGGTCCTTGAACCCCCAGAAATGAGCTGCTTCATTGTGGAAGAGGACAGAGGTGGCTAATGTCTCCAAATTCTGTTCCTGTTTCTTGTAAACTCCCCTGAAGTCTTGCTTATATCAAGTGCTCTCCTATTCTGGGTCAAAGAGGAATGGGTACTCGAAGGCCTCCAAATTAGTCACTGACCTCAGTAACCCTAATGCCCAAATATAAGAGAAAGGAATATTTGGTCCCTGAGTTCCTATGTCTTACTACCTCTGAAGAAGTCCAGATTCCTTTTTCCTGCTATATTTTTCAGGATCAATGACAAGCTAAAACAAATTATGAATTCTTCTAAAAGAAAAGTATAGGAAAAGAAAAAAAACCTCCCCTACTAATGGAAATTTAGATGTGTCTTTTGTTGGAACTCACCTCCCAGAAGCTTCCATTTGGTACTGGAACGAAAAGCCTCCATCTGCTTCACCTCTTCCGGTCGCTCATCCACAAACTCTGCCACCTGCAGGAGTAAAGATTTCCTATACTGAGGAAATCCACAGGATCCAACCAAGAAGCATTGTCTCAAGAACCTAAAGTTACAACTATTCCGATTCCCAACATAAGGGCACACACATATCCAAAATGGTCATGAAGAAATAAGTAGGAGTCTTCAGTTATGTTTCCTCCATAAACATCTGATTGTCACTGTATTGGTTTAATTGCAGATCCTTCTCTAACTAATCAATTTCCCTGCAAAGGTTAATTTCTTTCATTACAAACCTTTTTATTAACCTGCTAGGTACACAACAGCCACTTGTAAGCTAACAACAAAATTCCTTTTACATTTCTACTTTTACATGAAGCATGAAAACATAGGTAGCCCCCCTCATCATGTCTAGCACTAATCAAGGACTTTGGGTTTCTATAAAACCTTTCTTGTTGTAGGTAGTCACAATCGTAGGTTTTCTTGAATACAACCAAAAAGAGCCATTGAGATGTACACAGAATCATTTATCTTTAAGAGCTAAAACTACGTCATATCTTCCAAACTTCTGAACAAATCAGAATCTTCCCTATAGCATTCCTAATAAATGATCACTTACCCAATCCCTTCCTGACAAGGAACTCATTATCTTACAATGCAGGCCACCGCATTTTTAAAAAATGTTAGAAAGTTCTTAAGTTTTATTGGGCCCACATCTACCTTCTTTTTTTTTTTTTTTTTTTTTTTTTTTTTTGAGACAGAGTCTCACTCTATCACCAGGCTGGAGTGCAGAGGTGCAATCTGGGCTCACTGCAACCTCCGCTATCCGGGTTCAGGCGATTCCCCCGCCTCAGCCTCCCGAGTAGCTGGGACCACCACGCCCGGCTAATTTTTTTCATTTTAGTAGAGAAGGGGTTTCACCATGTTGGTCAGGACGGTCTCTATCTCCTGACCTTGTGATCCGCCCACCTCAGCCTCCCAAAGTGCTGGGATTACAGGCGCCCAGCCCCGTATCTACCTTCTTATAACTTCTTTGAATTGATTCTAGTTCTGACCTCTGATGCAACTGATCCCCTTTCCACATGACAAACTTTCAGTGTTTGCTGGCACAATAAATCCTAGTTACAGTGTAGCAACTATGCGCAAGGCACTGTGGTTTGTGTTTTACTCATATAATCTCATGTATTTCTCACAATAGCCCTACAAAGAAAGGCTCTACACTACTGAATGGCAAACTGACTCAGAGAAGTAACTTTATCAATGTCACAAGCTAGCAAGTGGCAGAACTGGAATTTAAATCCAGATCATGGCCGGGCATGGTGGCTCACATCTGTAATCCCAGCACTTTGGGAGGCCAAGGCGGGTGGATCACCTGAGGTCAGGAGTTCAAGACCAGCCTGACCAACACGGATAAACCCTGACTCTACTAAAAAAAATGCAAAAACTTAGCTGGGCGTGGTGGCACATGTCTGTAATCCCAGCTACTCAGGAGGCTGAGGCAGAACAATCGCCTGAACCTGGGAGGCGGAGGTTACAGTGAGCCAAGATCACACCATTGCACTCCAGCCTGGGCAACAAAAGCAAAACCCTGTCTCAAAAAAAAAAAAAAAAAAAAATCCAGATCATAATCGCCCTCTACTTCTCCCAAAATCCTATCATCATTCGTCATATAACCCAGTTTTGAGATCTCTCACTGAGCATTAAAAGCACAGGTTTCAGGCAAGATGAATGGAGATCTAAACCCCAGCTCTGCCACTTAGCATTTGTGTAACTTTTGGTAAACTATCTAAGCCTCAATTTTCTCATTTGTAAAAGTGGGATTCAAAGGATTGCAGTAAGGACTGAATGATATAGTTCATGTACACTTAGCCATGCTTGGTACATGATAAATGCTCAATAACTGCAGTAAGGATTGAATGATATAGTTCATGTACACTTAGCCATGCTTGGTACATGATAAATGCTCAATAAATTACACCACGCCAGGCGCGGTGGCTCAAGCCTGTAATCCCAGCACTTTGGGAGGCCGAGGCGGGTGGATCATGAGGTCGAGAGATCGAGACCATCCTGGTCAACATGGTGAAACCCCGTCTCTACTAAAAGTGCAAAAAATTAGCTGGGCATGGTGGCGTGTGCCTGTAATCCCAGCTACTCAGGAGGCTGAGGCAGGAGAATTGCCTGAGCCCAGGAGGCGGAGGTTGCGGTGAGCCGAGATCGCGCCATTGCACTCCAGCCTGGGTAACAAGGGCGAAACTCCGTCTCAAAAAAATAAATAAATAAAAAATAAAAAATAAATTACACTTATTAGTTATTCCTGTGCTGCCACTGCTATTATAATCATCATAATTATTTTACCATTATTAATGGTGGTGGTGGTGATCTTGCAGTAACAAAAATGAATTCAATAATCAAGATTTGTTTTAACCAATGCAGAGAGCACTGGCACTAAAGCCTCCTTTATTTAGGTTTTTTTGGGCCATCATAAAAGCAAGACAATATTATTAAAGAAAACGGCCAGGTGTGGTGGCTCGTGCCTGTAATCCTAGCACTTTAGGAGGCCTAGGTGGGAGATCACTTGAGCCCAGGTATTCAAGACCAGCCTGGGCAACACAGAGAGACCTCATCTCTAAAAATAAATAAACAGGCCAGGCGCGGTGGCTCAAGCCTGTAATCCCAGCACTTTGGGAGGCCGAGGCGGGTGGATCACGAGGTCAAGAGATCGAGACCAGCCTGGTCAACATGGTGAAACCCTGTCTCTACTAAAAATACAAAAAATTAGCTGGGCATGGTGGCGTGTGCCTGTAATCCCAGCTACTCAGGAGGCTGAGGCAGGAGAATTGCCTGAACCCAGGAGGCGGAGGTTGCGTTGAGCCGAGATCATGCCATTGCACTCCAGCCTGGGTTAACAAGAGCGAAACTCCAACTCAAAAAATAAATAAATAAATAAATAAATAAATAAAATTAGCTAGGTGTGGAGGTGCGTACCTGTGGTGCCAGCTACTTGTGGGGCTAAGGTAGGAGGATTGCTTGGACCTGGGAAATAGAGGCTACAATGAGCCATGATCACACCACTGTACTTCAGCCTGGGCACCAGAGCAAGACTGTGTCTCAAAAATAATAATACTAATAATTTGACAAAGTAGGCAAATTGGCATTCTTTTTTTTTTTGAGACGGAGTTTCGCTCTTGTTACCCAGGCTGGAGTGCAATGGCGCGATCTCGGCTCACCACAACCTCCGCCTCCTGGGGTCAGGCAATTCTCCTGCCTCAGCCTCCTGAGTAGCTGGGATTACAGGCACGCGCCACCATGCCCAGCTAATTTTTTGCACTTTTAGTAGAGACGGGGTTTCACCATGTTGACCAGGATGGTCTCGATCTATTGACCTCGTGATCCACCCGCCTCGGCCTCCCAAAGTGCTGGGATTACAGGCTTGAGCCACCGCGCCCGGCCCCAAATTGGCATTCTTATTAACTCTAGTGGGAGTGTAAATTGGTAGCACCTTTTGGAAAGCAATATGGGACTATAACTAAAAAGAATCATATCCTTTGATCCATTCATTTCATTTTATGGGAATAAAGAAATAAACTGATTCCTACAATGATTTATGTACAATGATTTATGATATTTTAAAAGTTGAAACAACTGGGCCGGGCGCGGTGGCTCAAGCCTGTAATCCTAGCACTTTGGGAGGCCGAGGCAGGTAGATCACGAGGTCAAGAGATCGAGACCATCCTGGTCAACATGGTGAAACCCCGTCTCTACTAAAAATAAAAAAAAATTAGCTGGGCATGGTGGCACGTGCCTGAAATCCCAGCTACTCAGGAGGCTGAGTCAGGAGAATTGCCTGAACCCAGGAGGCGGAGGTTGCGGGGAGCCGAGATCGCGCCGTTGCACTCCAGCCTGGGTAACAAGAGCGAAACTCCATCTCAAAAAAAAAAAAAAAGTTGAAACAATCCATGTATCCAGTAATAGGACAGATTAAATAAATATATATATTGAACTACTATGTAACTATTAAAAATCATACACTCAAAGAATATTTTAAGGTCTTACGAAAATATCCACAACCTATTATTTAGCAGAAGAGCAGATTCCAAAACCATATGTACAGTATGATCTCAATTATGTTCAAAAAAATAAAATACAAGTGTGTATAATCACTAAAGAGAAAAACCTGAAGAGATATGCATCCAAATGTTAGCAGTTATCTTTGGATGGTCATAATATAAATGGTTATTCTTTTAAAAACTTTAAACTTTAATTCCCAAATATTCTGTAACAAATATGCATTGCTTTTATAAAATTAAAAAACAACAAACATTGTTAATATTAATTTGCTCTGACCAAAACTAAATTGACTCCCTAAGATCACTATTTCCCTTCTAATTATTAGCAAGCCCTCTTTTAAACCATCTATTTTAGAATTTTGCTGGGAATTAATGTTAAATACTCATCTGGAATCCATCTTTACTATCTTTAGTGCAATTCAGCCTATCAACAGCTCTCCTTTCCACTTTGTTTCTAAGAAATTCTCGGCAATGGTTTCAGGAACCACTGGGAGGTCAATTACCTATGATTTTGTCCACCTGGCTCTTACTTATCCTTAAAACTCAATTAAGAGATTTACATCTGGCCAGGCTCGGTGGCTCAAGCCTGTAATCCCAGCACTTTGGGAGGCCAAGGCGGGTGGATCACGAGGTCAAGAGATCGAGACCATCCTGGTCAACATGGTGAAACCCCGTCTCTACTAAAAATACAAAAAATTAGCTGGGCATGGTGGCGTGTGCCTGTAATCCCAGCTACTCAGGAGGCTGAGGCAGGAGAACTGCCTGAACCCAGGAGGTAGAGGTTGCGGTGAGCTGAGATCGCGCCATTGCACTCCAGCCTGGGTAACAAGAGCGAAACTCCGTCTCAAAAAAAAAAAAAAAAAAAGAGATTTACATCTTTCAGGATATCTCAACAGAACACAAAGTGTGCTACCTCCCCGGGGCTCTAATGGTACTTGGAACATATGTGAAATGTATCCCCAACATTTATCATACTGTTGAAATGTATTTGAAATTCGGTTTTTCATTCTAGGGTATAAACTCTAAAGCACAGATATATTCTATTAATCTACGAATCTCCAGTTCCTATGCAAGAATACACAACTTGAAAGCTTAGTTAAATCAATGAAAAAAAGGAGCAAATAAAAAGTCCCCTATAATTGAACCTCAACACTTTTTAAAGAAGATTCCAACAACAGCTAATTCTCATCATTAGAACCACAGCTACTTCTCATCATGACTCTATCACTGATGTTGAGGAGTTCTCACTCTCTCTGTGATCCATCTCATTTCTAGGCTGATTGGCCCTCCATAAAGAGAGAAGTTGGTGTACAGGCATCATCAAAGAAAATTATTTAAAACAGCTCTTTGGAAACTGTCACCTCTTTTCTGTTCTCAACCATCCCCTCTACAAATCTACCCTGAGCTGGGAAAAGAAATTGAGAAGCTTGGCCAGGTGCAGTGGCTCACGACTGTAATTCCAGCACTTTGGGAGGCCAAGGCAGGTGGATCATTTGAGGTTAGGAGTTCAACACCAGCCTAGACAACATGGTGAAATCCCAGCCCTACAAATATACCAAAAAAAAAATCATTAGGCATGATGGCGGGTGCCTGTAATCCCAGCTACTGGGGAAGCTGAGGCAGGAGGATTGCTTGAACCCAGGAGGCAGAGATTGCAGTGAGCCAAAAACACGCCATTGCACTCAAGCCTGGGCAACAAAGCAAGACTCCGTCTCAAAAAAAAGAACCCTTGCTTCATTTCAAAATCCTGACAGCCCCAAAGACACATACCACAGGCAAATCTCCATCATCTTCCTCTTCCTCCTTTTCTGGTTTAGTTGTGGAGATAGCTGTCCAGCTCACATCATCATCCACAATCCGCATTCTACATGAGAAGAAGAAGAAGATGATCAAAGTCATTCTAGGATACCAGCCTAAAAACACTCGTCTACTGGTTTTAAAATAAAGTTCAAAATCCTACAGGATCCTGCATGGTCCAGTCTTTGTCTACATGGGTCAATTTCATCTCATACCGCTACTTCCTTGGTTGAACACCTCCCTGGTCATCCCTTGGTGCCTAGAAAGGAGCCAAGTTCCTACCATATCAGTTTTCGCATATGCAGTTCTTTCCCTCTGCCTGATCTACTCTTCTCAGTCTTTTTCTTTTTTTGAGACAGGGTCTCACACTGTTGCCCAGGCTGGAGCGCAAGGGCATGATCACGGCTCACTGCAGCCTTGACTTCCCGGGCTCAAGTTATTCTCCCCACTCAGTCTTCCGAGTAGCTGGGACTGCAGGCACATGCCACCATGCCTGACTACTTTTTGTATTTTTTTGTAGAAACAGGGTTTCACCATGTTTTCCAGACTGGTCTCAAACTCCCAGATGCAAGCAATCTACCCGCCTTGGCCTCATAAAGTGGTAAGAAACTCTTTCTCATTCCAGGAAACTCTCATAATTCAGTTCCTAATACAAATTTAACTTCCTTTGGCAAACCTTTCTTGACTGCTTTCCCCTAACCTCACCATCCCACACTAACTCAAGACTAAGAACCCTCGTAAAAAACTCTTGGAGTACTTTCACTGTGTTTATCATAAAGGAAATATATAAATTACTTGTGTTATTACTTAATGCCTGTATTCCCATTTAACTATAAGCCTACAAGAACAGGGACTATGTCTTATTTGTTCAGAGGCATCCTCAACACCCTACAGTAACTGGAATAGGAAGTATGCAATAAATGTTCGGTACATGGATAAACTATAGTTGAGCCCAAATAATAACAACGACTGCCATGATGTGAAGTTATTCAAAAAGCCAAGTTCACTGAATGCAATCCCTCTAATCACAACAACCACCACTTAATAAAAGCATTATTATTCAGTATTATTCTCATTTTAAAGATAAGGAAACTGCAGCTCAGTGAGATGAAACACCTTGCCCAAGGGCACACAGCCTATAAAGTGGCACAGCTAGGATTTGAACTCTGATCAGTGCTGCTCCAAGGCTCAAGCTACTTTCATCACATGGCACTGCCCCCCAAAGGATCCACACGAGTCAGCGAAGCAGAAAGACAGAAGACAACAATAAGGCAAGCGCCAGACCAGAAAAGAAAATGGACTAGTTCTTTGGAACAATGTGACTTCGATGGGTATCTTAGTGACTTAGGGTTGCTTAACAAAGTACCACAAATTGGGTGGCATAAAACAACAGAAACTCTCTCACAGTTCTGGAAGCTAGCAGTCTGGAATCCAGGGGTCTGCAAGGCCATCCTCCCTGGAAAGTCTCTAGGGGAGAATCTCTCCTCTTCCAGCTTCTGGTAGCCCCAGGAATATCTTGGCTTTTGGCAGCATAAATCCAATTCAATCTCAGCTTTCATCTAGACATGGTCGTTTTTTCTTTGTTGCTGTGTCTGTGTCCATACTTCCCTCTTCTTAAAAGGAAAACAGTCGTCTAGGATTTGGCACCCATCTTAATCAAATATGACCTCATCTTAACTGATGACCTCTCCAAAGGCACTATTTTTAAACGTCACATTCTGTGGTTCTGGGTGGAAACGATTCGGTAGGTCCCACTACACAGGACCACAGTGTTTTCCCATTTGAAAATAATACCCACTTCATGGTAGTGTTGTGAGGCTTAAATAAACTCATATATGTTTAAATTTCTTACAATGTTGCCTGGCAAGGAAAGTATAATGATAAGAACTACACAAACGTCAGCTGCTCTTGTTAGTAGGACTATTACTAAGAGTTACAGGAGGTGACCGAAGGTCTCTGATTCAGAACCAAGTCCTTGGGATTTGGGAACCCCCACAGGCAGGTACTGGGCCCTAAAGATCCAAGCAGAGGCTTTGAATCCGCTCCATTATTCTCGGGGCACAATACTCATTCTCTGTGGGAGAGAGAGGACAGAAGTCTACCAAGGCGGGAAAAGAGTCATCAAAGTTACAGCCGGCTTTAATGCATTGGCGCTAATGCTCAGGGGCTCGAGGCGTCAGCGGGGCGGCAGAGGCAAGGCGGGGGCCTCAGGCGGTGCCAGTGGGGCCCTGGGCATGAATGAGCAGGGGTCGGCGCAGCAGCCGAGACACCCGCCAGGAGGGAAGGAACCGCCGGGCGGCGGAGGGTGGAGTCGGGAAGGGTGAGGGGTGGCGAGTCGTCGCAGGCCCCGCCCCGGCCGGTACCAACTCACCCCTTGCCGCCGGCCCCACCAGGCTTCGGCCGCTTTTTGCGGCGCTTGCGGCCGGACTCAGGCCCCCGGTCGACGCCGGCATCTGCCCCGGACAAATAACGCTTCAGATACTCGGCCTTGGAAAGCGGCGGAGCTGCCGCCATGGCAGCGGCGGGGGCGGAGAGACGGCTCGGCGCTGGGGACAAAATGCCTCGACGCGTAGCGCGCGCCAGCCACCTGAGGAAGCGGGGCCAGGGCCGGAAGTGGCGGAGTGTGCCGAGAGTGACGCGGCTGGCAGGTGCAGCCGCTGGGGGCGCGCTCGCAGACCAGCCAGGGACGTGCACATCTTCGGGCGCCCTGGGACGACGCCACCAGGTTTCCTCTCTTCATCCACCTACCCACCCACCCATCCATCCATCCATCCATCCATCCAACCGCCACAGGCGCTGTTCCGGCCATGAGGCCACAACCTGACCCAACGAGACCCCGCCCCCAGCGTCTGCCTAAGCTCCAGAGCAAGGGCAGGAAGGTGGAGAGCCACGGGCTGCGGCGGAATTTGAATGCTGGTTCCATAGCCAGCTAGCTGTGCGACCTCGGGCAAGTTATCACAAAACGGGGAGAACCCCGGCACCTAACTCGGAATGGTCACAGGCTGAGATGACACTACTGTGTGAAGTGCGCGGAGCGTTTGGGCACATGGTCATCGGAACTATGTTCGTTATTATTTTTTGTTTGTTTTCCTTTTTGTGGAGAACGGGGTCTCGCTATGTTGCCCAGGCAGGTCTCGTTAGTTTTATACGTATCTTTAAGTGGGAAGAATCTGCTCCACTAGGTTTCCAGATACCTACTCTTCGAGAAAGGAAGCCAGGAAGTGCAAACCAACACACTTACTATGAAAAACGTGGTTTCTAAGACCTGTGTAAACTCTTCTAGTGTTGTATTACAAGTTCCCCACCCCGACCCCCCCAGTTATCTCTTGAAAAATATATTTCCTTTAAGAGGTAACGGGGAGGGGGGGCGGCGGGGAGGAACTTGTAATACATTAGAAAATATATAGCATTAATAAAATATTGCCAATGAAGAGGACCTGGATATATTTGCAGCATAGCATAAAAAGAAACCACAAAGAAAGAATTCTAAGACTCAAGTTTTGGGAGGAAAGCAAAGACTTTCTTCTTTGCAGGGGGTTAAGAGCAAATTATTTAACCCTCACAATTCTCAAATTGTTTATCATATTTTACAAATAAGAACTGAAGGTTGGCAAGATTAAGGAAGTTGTTCAACTTCACATAGCCAGAACATGACTTCTTGGGAGTAGAGGCTAGCAAAGTGGGTGCAAGAGGTCATCCAAATTTCTTGAAATATAACATCTTTTTACCTCATCATATATGTTAGATTTTTGTCACTTTTTTATCGTTTCTCCCCAGCCTTATGAGGTTATTTGACAAATAAAAATTATATGTATTCAAGGTGTGCAGTGTGATGATTGGGTATACTTACACATTGTGTAATGATTACCAAAATCAAACTAATTAAAACATCCTTTACTAGACTTACTTATGTACTACCTGGGTGGGGGAACACTTAAGCAAATTTGTCTTAGCAAATTTCAAGGAAACAATACGGAATTATTAGCTATAGTCAACATGTTGTACATTAGATCCCCAGAACTGGTCTTTAAACTGAATATTCGTACCATTTGAGAGAGAAGTTTTAGTGTCACTAAAATCACAGCCTTCTGACAGAATTTGTGGCTGCTATATACAATAAACAGAAGTGCATACAATAGTTTCTTGGACCAAGAGCCAAAAAGTTCACTGTTTTAATGTATTAGTCAAGCAGGCATCGTTTTACTTTATAAATAAATATACTTATCTTGGGATAAGTGTTTCAAAAATTCCTTACTCATATAATGCAAAACAGGCTTGGGGATCAGAGTCTTGAAGCACGAATTTTTACCCAGTGGGCCATGGTGAGTGGTTGCAGCACAGTCCCAGAAAGGAAAGCAGGTTGGGTCTCTGAGGGCTTGTGACACGAGGACACTGGATTGAGAGGATAGGGCTTCACTAGCTGGAGGGCCCCAGGGGTACCCCATGCACAACCCTGCCTTGGCTTCTCGTCCAGTTTGGTGTATCTTAAACTGCACTGCACAGCCCTGCCCCAGCGTGGTGTCAGCAGGCATTCAGAAAGCCTCACACATCTGCACCAGTGAACACTGCCAATATAGCCCTCTCAACTTCCGCCCACCCATCTTCTTTCCACTTGTTTTCTTCAATTCTACCACTACCCATCCTACCCAGTCCCTTAGCCTGACAAGACCCAAGTGTCTCCACCCTACCCTGCAGGGCAGTTAAGCAGGATTAGATGCTATGCAGTAATTGTGCAGCTGAGCTCAAAATATTCCGAGCTCAGGTTTCAGAGTCTGCTTGGCCTGAGTTTGACACCTGCCTCTTAGAAGCTCTACCTCCAGCTGGGACGGTGGCTCACGCCTGTAATCCAAGCACTTTGGGAGGCTGAGGCGGGCGGATCATGAGGTCAGGAGTTCGAGACCAGCATGACCAACATAGTGAAACCCCGTCTCCACTAAAAATAAAAAATTAGCTAGGCATGCTGGTGTGCACCTGTAGTCCCAGCTGCTCGGGAGGCTGAGGGAGGAGAATCACTTGAACCCAAGAGGCAAAGATTGCGGTGAGCCAAGATCTCGTCACTGCACTCCAGCCTGGGAAACAGAGCGAAACTCCACCTCAAAAAAATAAAAAAGCTCTACTTCCTACTGGAAATTACTAGCCTCTCTGAGCTGTTTTGTCACCTGTAAAATGGGGATAATTTTGTTTATTGATAGGTGCCTTTTCCCAAAAATGAGTTAATGCAGAAATAAACACTTTATAATTTTTGTAAGGATATGAGAGAAAGTATATACAAAAGCACTTCACCATTAACTCATTTAATCCTTACAAAAACTCTACAAAGCCCCAATTATCCCCCTTTTACAGAATAGGAAAGCAAGTATTGGAAGTGCCAATACTAAACTCTTGAGGTGAACACACAAAATATGCAGTAGCTTTTTTTCTCTTCACCATTGGGAACACTGTCATTTGCCTTAAAAAGAAGTGTGTAAAAAAATGTTTTTAATAAGAATAAAGCCAAGTAGTCTTCACCACCACTACCCTAAATGTAAGCAGAGGCACCATTCTCTGCAGTGTATATCAGGCACATACCACAGGTGTACAAAGAAAATATACTGATGTTAGAACAAAAAAAGTGTTGCTTTTTTTTTTTTGAGACAGAGTTTCAGTGCTGTTGCAGAGGCTGGAGTGCAATGGTGCAATCTTTGGCTCACCACAACCTCCGCCTCCTGGGTTCAAGAGATTCACCTGACTCAGCCTCCCAAGAAGCTGGGATTATAGACATGCACCACCACATCCAGCTAATTTTGTATTTTTAGTAGAGATGGAGTTTCTCCATGTTGGTCAGGCTAGTTTCGAACTCCCAACCTCAGGCGATCCACCTGCCACGGCCTCCCAAAGTGCTGGGATAACAGGCGTGAGCCACCATGCCTGGCCAAGTGTTGCCAGCATTAAAATCATTAGCTTTCTGTTGGCCAAGTCAACTGCCCTTCATACTTGCTCCCAGCACTCACCTCACCTCCTCCACTCACTCATCTCGACACAGATGTACATTCAGTACCTACCTGTATGTTCATCCACAGGTCTAATGACTGAACATGGCTGCATTTCACATACTTGAACCGTGAAAGCAGGAGGTGTGCCCGCACACACAAACCACTTTTTTAAACACAATCACAAAACTTTACACTTAAATTTTACTCTTGTGGCTATGAAACAATCTACATGTTCTTGGCCTGGCACTTTTGACTGTCTCACCTGCCCTGGCCTTAAAGCAAGACCCTTTCCATACCTTATTACCTATATATGTTACCCCTAGTGTCATCATAGGGTTTGATCTAGGATGGACAATTTTAACAGATTTTACTAACCATGTGTCATATGCTAGGGGCTGTGGAGCAAGACCCAGTTAACTAAATGTAAGCTCCCATCCTGACACACTTTATGGAATGAGAAATGAGCTGAGAGATGCTTCAAGAAAAGGGTATGAAACTAAAGAATGCCTTGTCATCAAAGGGCACAAAGTGCCTTAGGTGGATTATCCTGGTCTGGCACCTGATCCTCAGTCTTTGCAAGTTCAGAAACTCAGGTCATTTTCCAGGAACTGGGTGAAATTCTGAGACCGCCTTGCACCAACCAAACTCACAACAGATTCGGTAATAAGCCAGAGTGCCATTTTTCCTTCACAATGGAAAATGAACCTAATAGTGGGGTTTATCTTAACAGAGCACACCCACACTATGGGGAAGTCTACCTAAGAGACCAAATGAAGGGTTGCCTGGTAAAGCTGGAAACATATCTAGAGATAATCTTGCTTTTTTTTTTTTTTTGAGACAGAGTCTCACTCTGCTGCCCAGGCTGGAGTGCAGTGGCACGATCTTAGCTCACTCACTGCAACCTCCGCCTCCTCCCAGGTTCAAATGATTCTCCTGCCTCAGCCTCCCGAGTATCTGGGATTATAGATGTGCACCACTGTGCCTGACTAATTTTTTGTATTTTTAGTAGAGACAGGGTTTCACCATGTTGGTCAGGCTGGTCTCAAACTCCTAACCTTGTGATCCGCCCGCCTCAGCCTCCCAAAGTACTGGGATTATAGGTGTGAGCTACTGTGCCCGGCTGAGATAATCTCTTAGGGTAGAATAGTTGCCTGTAAGGTTACTAAAAGTACTGAAGTTTTATAGTTTGAATGAGTCATTTGCTAACCTGAGTCTCCAAACATCTTACTCCCACCCTCACTTACAGAAATTAAGAGATACAGGTCTGGAAGTTAGTCCCACATGATAGTAAGATGCCAAAGAATCTGACATGGAGAGATGTCTGAAAGCATAACTCTTGGAAACAAATATATTTCAGGAAAACGGAAGAGGCAGTGTCCAAATAAGAAAGATTCAAAGTGAAGGGAAAACCAAGGGTATGGAGAGCCAAGAGAAGGGTTAAGAAGAGATGGTCCACTATCAAATGTGACAGAAAGAGGTAACATTTCCCAAGTGGAAAATCACTTGTGACCCTTGAGAACAGTTTAATAGAGCAGTGAGAGGAGATGTCTGATTGCTAAGTCATCTCTAAATCATTCTTCA